TATTACTTTGACACTCCTGCACTTGAAAGAAGATATCAATCTTTTAATCGTGTTAGTTACCATTCTTGAAAGAAGATATCAATCTTTTGATTGTATTAGTTACCATTCTAAACAACTTGGACATAACCTCTAGGTTTGGTTTTTACTATGGATAACCAATTAACTCGAAAGATCCTTTCTAAAGAAAGGAGCTATATGCAATAAACTTGTTAGAGTTGCTTAGCAAAAATAAAGATATTATCGACTTGCATAGTTTAGCTTTTATATTAATTTCAACCAAATCAAGATGGGGATCTACTTTGATTCCAGTATGAGTGGTATTATAATAATAACATTTGAATAAAAAGATTATATTCTGCTCGTTATGCTATTATGATTTAATAACCTCTCCTAACTTTCTACAGTAGTCAACTTCAAACTCATTAGAACTCGATTCCTTAACATAAACACTATTGTTATATGTCTTTTTATCCTAATCATACTCTTGAGTATGAAAAAACATGTTCATTGAAAAAATATTAGCTATAATACTTCACCTTTCTTTTATGACCCAAATATAATACTTTAAAGTAACATTAACATTCTTTTCTAATTGATAAACATGGCATAAAAGCTACAAACTTTAATAGTTAATGAGAAATGTTTATGCAATTTAGTATTCCAAGAGATAAGAATAATTAAATAATTTGTACAATTAACCACATGAAAAATTATTTATCATGTAATTGAAAAATTTGATATTCAATTAGCTGTAAGTTTTGGGATGGTAAAAATCAACGATGTTACCTATAAGGAATTATTAAATCTATCAGTTTTTGACAGTTTAAGAGAAAAATTGTTTGAAATTAATGGCATGTTAATTATTATACTTACTGAACAAGTCTTAGTTCATTGTAATTAAATAACACATAATTATATGTATGTCTAAACTCAATTTCTATCAAGTATCTTCCAACACAATATTCTTGGGTATAGGTCATTCGAGATGAGAGAATATTGATAAGTTCCCACTCAAAAGCGCTTCTTCACCGTCATTATGTCATGGAACATGGAACATGGTTAATTCTTGTTTTCAAGTGAGGCTCGAAATAGTACAAGATAAATGTTGAGATCTCTTTAATAATATAAGTCTCGTATATCAAAGCCTTAACATGCATCTTGTTATTATTATTTTTTTACTTTTCTCTTAAGGTTGAATAGGTTTTTGTATATAATTAAATGAATGTTTGGAATAAAAAAAACACAATAAGAAATTTAATTACGATGCATGTGTAATCTTTAACCTCTCATATAGATATATCCATCCATATTAGTAGGACCTCTAACTTTTGCCTCAAATGGTAAATGTAAAGATAGATGCTCCATTAAATTGAAGAACAGTAAGGAATATCATTTCAAGTTTATATATTGTCTTGACAATATTCGTTTGAAGCATTTTCATGTGTTGTATATACAACTTGTTAAAGCGTATATCTTTAAAGAAGTGATTGATCTCCATGAGTACATTCTGTATCCCATTTAGCAATAAATCCCAGTAATCATGACTACATTCTGTATCCTATTTGGCAATAAATCCCAGTGAGCTAGTGTAATGAGTGTTTGCATAAACATGTGACAATTATGACTCTTTATTTCATATAATTTAAAATCCTTTAAATTTATCAATCTAGATATATTTGAAGCATGTCCATTAGAAAAATACAAACTCTTAAGCCATTAATAAATAATTAACTGGGTTATGTAACTCGTGATCCATCATAAATCAACTTTATATTTTTATGGTGATAAAATAAAAGTATATCCATTCTATCCTTCATATTGTCTTTTATTTTTTCCTTTCACACCTACAACCGTGTTAAAAATTTCTTTAAACATGTTCTTTTTAATGTGCATGACATTGAGATTATGACAGAGAAAAATTGATCTTCCTATAAGGAAGCTCAAGAAAATATTTTGCTTTACTCAATTATAGATCACACCAAAACTAGAAAACTTCTACTAACCGAATTGAAAACTAAACATAATATCATCATACTGTGACACCACATCATATAATTTTTCATCCAACGATCATAATAGTGTAACATCACTTTTAATTCTACCAACAAATAAGTTCTTTCTATACTTGTAATTCATTAGTAAGAACCGCTAATGGCAATAAAAAAAAGGTTTTACCACCATTTTCTAACATGAAGACCTTGTTATTTTTCATATAATATGAACATACTAATTTTTCATGCGTGCTCCAATCATAAACCATTTCATAAATGGAAAAATCATTGATAGTCCATATCAAATTTATCTTTATATGAAAATTTTATTTCCTCAAGAAATCATAATTCAAAGTCTTGAATAACCACAAATACTTTAACTTCTCAATTAATGGTTGAATATAAACATCTATATTTTGAACCAAAATATTAGGATCATGTATGACCATAGATAAAAATATGAACTACAGCTTCATATACATTCTCGATACAAAGTTGTAAACTGTAAGTACCACCGACCAATAAAAATAAGGAGAAGCAAATAACCCTAATAGATTGAATCCATCTGTATATCACCTAAGATGTATGTTTATTGTCTCCATTAAAAACTAAGGATGCACCCTATTAGAATATTTCTAGGCTTCACCATCAATGGGTGCACCATGACTTCATTCACCGCATCATGTGAATGATGCCATATCATGTACTCAACAATCTTTACAGACCTGTATATAACTTTTGTAGTCTATGATTGGGAAGTATCTAAGTTTTTTATGTGGGACAAGAGTCCTTCCCTACTTATTTTGAGTTTATAATGAGCATGCCTATATATTTTACACTTA